CGCTGGAGACGCTGTAGTACATATGCCAGGCCAGTAGATGGTGCTGTTCTCACTGAATCTGCCCTTGCAAAAACAGAGCTAAACATTTTCAAATAGAGTGGCGAAGTCCCTCCCCTTCCGGTGGACCTCCATGGGACCTTATTTCGGAAAAATTATGTATTGAAGTCAATGGAGAGAGAAAGATTATCTTTCGATCCCGTTTGAATTGTGCCACGAATTACACATATGATGTTTGTCAATTTAAAAGATAATTTTGCAAGTCAAAAAAAAAAAAATGTGTCGTAAAACTGTGAAGTAACACATTTGTTTGTGTGAAACGCTCAATGAACTACATCTCTGGTCAACAACACACGTCACCAAGATGGCCGTCACTACTGTCTTGTCAACACAACTACCCTCACTATCACCACAATGAAACACGTCCTGAAGAATGTCATGCAAAGCTGCCTGCCTGCCTTCCTTTGATTCTCTCTGAACTGCCTGGTCGTTTTAATGTTTAATGTCAACCATTTGTGCAGATAGCATGAAGTAGAGAAGATCGCCGATGCTAACGTTAGCGTTAGCATTTCTCCCCCGGGCTTAAATGGTGTATTATAGAATGATCACACCGGTGACAGTACTATTCAAAGGGTTCACGAAATATGACTACTACTCTTACTGTTTAACATTTGGGTTACTTAATGTTACTTCATGTTAAGGCTAATAAAAATGACAAGGCTGTAATGCTAACTAACGTGCTAGCTACTAGCTAGGTAGCTAACTTGATCAAGCCACTCCTGGTCGTTTAATCAGACGGGAAGCAAAAGAACGAGCAAGACCCATTGCTGGTATAATAACAACCTGGTACTAAGCACAAAACAATTGTGACATCACTTACGCGACTCTGGGATTTGTAGTTTCTAGTTACGTATTTTTCATAGTCTTATATTTCAAGTTTTACGACAAACTGTGACTTTTTGACATGGAAATGATTTTTAAGATTGACAAACATCATATGTGTAATTCATGGCACAATTCAACCGGGATCGAAAGATAAGTTTTCTCTCCCCATTGCCTTCAATGCATAATTTTTCCGAAATAAGGTCCCATTACCCAAGTAAGTGGGCGTGACTTCGCCACTCTATTGAGCGAAATGAGGCATGGCTAAAATGCATGATCTGTTTGTTATTTTGAAAAAAAAAAGTATAAATATGCCTTATATAGGTATGGTCCTACACTATATTATTCAAATATAGCATGATCGGTCCACTTTAAGTGCTTTGACAAAAAATCCATTAAAAAATATCATCTGTGGAAGCCGTAGTACTGTAAAAAGTACGACCAATCATTTTAGCCGGCCCGGCTAAACATGGGACCTTAATGTAAAAATGCATAGTTTAACTTAAAGTGTTTTCCTCCCGCAGTGTGTACCTGATCAGCCGGAGCAGCAGGATGACCTTCAGTATGCCAGCGTTCACTTCAACAACCGGGCAGATCCTCTTTACTCCAACATGAGAGCAGCTCAGCCCCTCAGACACACGGAGCAACAGGAAGTCCGGAGTACGCTGCCGTCAAGTTCAGCAGTGCTGCCCCGAGGTGAGCAGATCCTCACACAGGAACATTGTTCACATATCATTTAATTCCTTTTGCATTATTATTAGTACTAAAACTTATTATGTGTTTTTCAGGGCTAGAGGTCAGGACTCTGAAGAGGATCCCGCTGCATTGTACAGCACGGTCAACAAATCCAGATAAACACAGCAGGCGATGCATTTGAAGGATGATACTTCAGTTTTTTTTACAATCACATTTCTATGTACACAGGGTAATGTGGATTTATTAAATACATGTCTCAGGGTGGACCTCTCCAAGAATGAGGCGATGAGTTTTCAGCCTAGTTTTTATTAATCTGAATGGCTCAAATGTAAAGATTTTGTTAAGTATTTCACAGCTTAATGTACTGAATTGTTAATATTTCTTGTGGTAACATGATTTTTTTGCCACAAAAAAATTACAAAATGTAGAGATGTTGCAACAAGAGATCTGATCCCTAACTGCTGGCTTGATGGAAAATGTAGATATTACTAAAGAGTTATAATTTACTGATAACAAACCATTTCCATTGTTTTGTAAGTACATTTATCAACTTTATTATATGTTCTTCTTCTTGTCTAGACTGAAATATCATCAACTACTTGTTTGTGTTATTTTGTAATCCATTCCAAAATACATGTTGTTATTGAAAAGCACATTGGGATATCAGAGAGGAACATTGTTTGCTGATGTAGTTGCAGTTTCATTCTGCTGCCACTAGGTGTCAGTAAAGAGCCGTATTTCACTGATGGAAAACCATTACCAAGAGCCTGTAAAGCACATTTATCTTTGGTGTGTGTACCGGCCTTAATGTTCACACATTCTTATTCTGACATCTGTTTATGTAAATATAAAAGTTCCATTATCACCAATTTAAATAGTTAATTTCTTTGTTACTCTTTAAGTTCATAACCATCACAACTTGTTGCATTTATCTATTTTGCTTTGTTGTTACACCTGTTATTCTGACCCTAGTCTTTTGCTCTGTCCTTCATGTGTTTACCTTTCTCTCCGTTCTGTTTCTGGTTTGAGTTCATCAATAAAGGTTGAAATGTTCATAACTCTCGTCCACACTAATGCTAATGATAGCATTAGTGTCACTAATCTGTCATTTCTAAATAGAATAATTGCACGTGTTCACTTGAAATAAAAACACTGGAAACAATATTAAACTAAACAAGCTGCAGAGTTTGTGAGGAGACATCAGAAGGTATAAAGAACACAGTGAAGGCTGACACACTGAGAGAGAGAAGTGTGTGTGAGAAGTGTGTGAGTGAGAGAAGTGTGTGAGTGAAGTGTGTGAGTGAAGTGTGTGAGTGAAGTGTGTGAGTGAGAGAAGTGTGTGAGTGAGAGAAGTGTGTGAGTGAGAGAAGTGTGTGAGTGAAGTGTGTGAGTGAAGTGTGTGAGTGAGAGAGTGTGTGAGTGAGTGAGAGAAGTGTGTGAGTGAGTGAGTGAAGTGTGTGAGTGAAGGGTGTGAGTGAAGTGTGTGAGTGAGAGAGTGTGTGAGTGAGTGAGAGAAGTGTGAGTGAAGTGTGTGAGTGAGTGAAGTGTGAGTGAGTGAGTGAAGTGTGTGAGTGAGTGAGAGAAGTGTGTGAGTGAAGTGTGTGAGTGAGATAAGTGTGTGAGTGAGAGAAGTGTGTGAGTGAAGTGTGTGAGTGAGAGAAGTGTGAGTGAGTGAGAGAAGTGTGTGAGTGAAGTGTGTGAGTGAAGTGTGTGAGTGAAGTGTGTGAGTGAAGTGTGTGAGTGAGTGAAGTGAGAGAGTGTGTGAGTGAAGTGTGTGAGTGAGTGAGTGAGTCAGTGAGAGAAGTGTGTGAGTGAAGTGTGTGAGTGAGAGAAGTGTGTGAGTGAGAGAAGTGTGTGAGTGAGAGAAGTGTGTGAGTGAAGTGTGTGAGTGGTGTGAGTGAGAGAAGTGTGTGAGTGAGGTGAGAGAAGTGTGTGAGTGAAGTGTGTGAGTGAGTGAAGTGTGTGAGTGAGTGAGAGAAGTGTGTGAGTGAGTGAGAGAAGTGTGTGAGTGAAGTGTGTGAGTGAGAGAAGTGTGTGAGTGAGAGAAGTGTGTGAGTGAGAGTGTGTGGTGAAGTGTTTGCGTGACCGTGTGTGAGTGAAGTGTGTGCTTGACGTGTGTGCCGTGTGCTGAGAGAAGTGTGCGTGAGTTGTGACGCGTGACTGTGAGTGATGTGAGTGAGTGAGGTGATAGTGAGTGAGTGAGTGAGTGAGTGAAGTGTGAGGTGAGTGAAGTGGTGCAGAGTGAGTGCACGTGTGAATTGAAGTTTGTTGGGGAAGTGAGTGAAGTGTGTGACGTGTGTGTGGTGTTTCTCAATGTCGAGGACGCTTGCTTGGTAGGACACGTCTTCCGAGTCCCTTGCTCAGAAGCAAGAATCCTTCCTAGCCTCGGAAAACGAAGAATGGTGGAACAGGCTAACAGGTGTGCGTCATATGCGAGGCCCGCATTAGGATGTGTGTTCTCTTGTCAGTGAGGAGAGGTGGTCTGTTCACCACAAACTGGTCTCCTGAACTCCCTTTCTTTTAATGTGGAAGGGTTTTCTTGTGGACATCAATCAAACTTCTTTGTTATTTTGTCACTGACGCCACACGGGAGACTGAGAGCAGCAGCTATGAGTTTAACAGCGAGTGGATTTGTTGTCTTCCTTCTCTCTATGCCAGGTAATGTACATCACATGTTTTTTTATCCACTATTAGATTTAGCTTTTCTAAACACTTTGACACTTTACATAAATATCCCATTCATTTATACAGCAAACATACACAGGCATATATTAGTGACCAAACAAGATGCACGGAAATTCATTTGGAGAAAATACAGAGAGACAGAAAGAAGTGAGACTGGCAGGTGGTTAGTCAGCGGACGACCAGACCCAGGAGCAAAGACTGAACTGGCTTTTCCAAGTGTCAAAGGTATGATCCTCTTCTGCATCTTCTACATATGGACAGTGTTCTGTAACTTGACTTCATGTGTTGTCAGGCGCAGCCAACAATAAGGTTTACAGATCATAATACAGAGCACTTCTATATGGAAAACTCACTACTACACCATCCATTCCTGCCTCCCTTTATCCTCTCGTGCATTCATTTGTCTTATTCCAGGTATTCTTGCTCATATTCTGATTTGGCAGAAACACACCTGAGTAGAAATGGTTAAACTCATAAAATGTTAATGTGGCGGCACGTGGTAGTGTTTGTTTGAACTCCTATTTAAGATCTACATTTAACCAAAAGCCAGACAACGCCACCTTGGGAATTGCACCCAAGGAAATAATTATTCAAAGTACCAATAAGGCATCAGGTTCGTAATACTGAGGGGCAGGAGAGGTGGTTCCAATTCATCACATGTTTCATTTCAAGTATTAAATATCATTAAAAAACACATTAAGATCATCATACACACTGAACATAAAGGGGGACATCTTAATTAAGGGATGCTGAGGCTTACCAGTGGATGGAGGTGACGAGGGGTGAGAGGGATCCCCACAAAGTAAATGAGGGCACCCGTGATCACTAAACACTCACACACGAAGGAACACCAACACCAGGGGGAGCCAACACACCTTTGGCTCTCAGCAACTAAAGAGGGGCCAACAAAACACATTACTGGGGGAAACAGTCAAAACTAATTAATACACAAACCAACACATAAGATCAGTATAAACACAATAAGAAATCAATAATACTAAGAGATATAACTAATATCGACTGAAATAAACAAAACAAGTTTAGAACAGGGTCGAAAACAACTAAACAAAAGAAACGGAAATTACCCAACAATCTACTTAATATTGAACTAAACAAACAAAACAAGCTTAACTCAACAGGGTCAATGAAATAACTAATCATAAACAGAAATTAATCGAAAAGTCCACTATAACAATGTTTAAAATGTGGTCATGTAGTGTAATGCAGAGTGACACAAAGAGGCAATACAGACGATGCAGGCCAAGAGCAACACCCGCCAGGCAGCAGTGTAGCGGTGAAGCACAGACGTTGAGGCAAAACAGCCGTCTTTCTGTATTAGGCTTCCAGCGCAGGTGATGTTACGATAATAATACTACATTCATATTATTCAGGAAGGATGAGACAAGCAAAAAGCGTACCTACCGATCAGGCTAAGTTAAGACACACAGCAGGAGAGCTTCGTTCAGCAGCGGCAGCAGACATGGGCTGCAGGATCCCTGCAAGGGTCTACAACCAGCAATAAACATTTAGTATGTATGCTACTTGTCATGCTAAGCATACAACAAAACGGCAGCCACCGCAAACTCACCGGTGCCAGCGGAGAAAGCACGTAAACGGAACCCGGAAGTGGCCTTCGTGCCAAAGAGCAAGAGGAGCAAGAGCGACACTGACCCCTCTTTAGAAAGATTGCCCCGTGTTGATTGGGCTGAACAGTTTATCCTCAACATGGGCTGCGTTTCACTTCTCTTATTTTTCATTTCCTCGCTCCTCGGTCTCGGTCTCACCGGAAGTTGATTTCTCTGCGCCATCTTGAGTAGCGTCCCAATGGCCTTATTTTTGCCGGAGGAGCGAGGAGCTATAATGGAGGAGCTATAATCGAGGAACCACCAGACCATCCTTCGATGAAATCCTCAGACACTCGCCCCGCCCCCTTACTGTGTATCGCTCACTGATTGGACGGTGCAGCGCATGCACTGATCTGATGCTTCTTGACATGAGAGCAGAGTTTCCCAGCGGAGTGAAGAAAACACATGAAACTCACGGGACTCACTCCTCAGTTCATACCGTGTTCTGTTTCAATGAATGCATCATTCAGTTACAAATATGTGATATATCTGAACAACAAAGTGGTCAAAAATCATTTTATTCATTTATTGGAAACATTTTCATGATCGCTTTTTTCGTTTTACATTTTCATTTATTGTCATTTCCATTCAGTCAGTCATTAAGTGCTATTTAAAATGTTGATTTGCTACATATCCACACAAACAAACAAAGTGTGCAATCCAATGAATGTTAATCTAACTGGGTTTTGATAGATAACATATCTCTTTTTCTTCTCTCAATTATTTTATTTCTATTGTGCACTCTAATCAATATTAATCAAACTATTGTTCGTTTATACATTTTAAGAATGGCGTTTATCTTTTTTGAGAATGAGTTCTTATTTGATTTAATTTATTTGGGTCTACAACAGATGATACAAATGTTTGTGTCAGTAAATGTCAGACGAACAGCTGTGCAGCGTCATCACAAACGGACGTCGCTTCACGTGACGCTCCGGAGGAAAGGACGTCCCATTGCTCTTAAAACTCATTTCCCTGCTTCTCGTGGTTCCCTTGGCTGCGTTTCACTTCGGTTAAATGGATTCCTTGCGTCCCTCACTTGCGTCGTTTCCCTGCGACTAGTCCCTCCCACCAGGGAAGCATGGAGAGACGCAAGGAAACCACGAGAAGCAGGGAAATTAGTTTAAGGCCCCGGCTCCACGGGGACGAAAACGGGTTGAATCCGCATATTTCTCATGTGTATAGCCCTCTAAGCTCGACGACGCCGTAAGGGAAACGTAGAAACAGACCCCGCAAACGACAACGGGTCCAAAGGTGGATAGATCTGGGAACGAAGCGCTCTGGGGGGTCCAACGGGGCCGTGGAGTCGCCTATACGGTCATTCGTTTTCATAGCCCCGCCTCTCCCCACCTCTCCCCCGCAGGGTTGCTATCGTGTTCCAGTCGCTACTGACCATGCTACAGTTCTTTGTGCAACATCTACAGGAGCTCCTCCTTGAATTTAGATTATTTATCTTTATCTCGATATGGACATAAACGCGAGTGAAGTCTAATCTGACAGGGCGGAGACACGCAGCTCCTGCCGCTGTGATGCAGCGGGAGCAAAACACACACTTCAAGTCAGATCATCACCCTTACCTATTTTAATTACCTCTCAAACTACCTAAACTAGTTATAAATATGTTCATTTTTACTGTCGGGTCACTCATTACAGGATCAGCTGCTGCATGAGACAGACACTGACGCTGTGAGAAGAGAGGAAAAAGAGACAGGCTCTGTGTATTTGATGATTATATATCATTATATCGTCGTTATTCATTTGTTTTTAAAGCTCAATAAATAACAATGAAGACCTTTGACCGGCACTTTTATAATTTTGTCCGGAAGATTTAAACTTTAACACACGCTGACCGGCGAAAAACTCTGCCCGGTTCTGTCGGCCCCCACCGCGGAGAATACACAGAAGTGCAGCCATGACAACCATTCTTCTTCGCTGCTTTTGTGGAGGAAGTTGCTGCTTTTGTGGAGGAAGTTACAGCGCCACGTACAGGTTCGGCATATGTACTGCAGCTTTTCCAGCGTTTGGATGTAAACGGAGCCGTCTCGTGGAGCTTGACACAATCCGGTGTATATTGCGTGGGGACAGAAGGTTTTTTGCGGTTGCATTTGCGTTACTCCGATGCGTTTTGCCGTATTTGTCCTCATGGAGCCGGGGCCTTAAGAGCAATGGGACGTCCTTTCCTCCGGAGCATCACGTGAAGCGACGTCCGTTTGTGATGACGCTGCACAGCTGATCGTCTGACAGCAGCTCTGTCCCCGTTATTTTCACAAACACCCCCGCCTCTGTTAGTACACATTTACTGACACAAACATTTGTATCATCTGTTGTAGACCCAAATAAATCAAATCAAATAAGAACTCATTCTCAAAAAAGATAACGCCATTCTTAAAATGTATAAACGAACATTAGTTTGATTAATATTGATTAGAGTGCACAATAGAAATAAAATAATTGAGAGAAGAAAAAGAGATATGTTATCTATCAAAACCCAGTTAGATTAACATTCATTGGATTGCACACTTAGTTTGTTTGTGTGGATATGTAGCAAATTAACATTTTAATTAGCACTTAATGACTGACTGAATGGAAATGACAATAAATGAAAATGTAAAACGAAAAAAGCGATCATGAAAATGTTTCCAATAAATGAATAAAATGATTTTTGACCACTTTGTTGTTCAGATATATCACATATTTGTAACTAAATGATGCATTAATTGAAACAAAACACGGTATAAACTGAGGAGTGAGTCCCGTGAGTTTCATGTGTTTTCTTCACTCCGCTGGGAAACTGCTCTCATGTCAAGAAGCATCAGATCATTGCATGCGCTGCATCGTCCAATCAGTGAGCGATACACAGTAAGGGGGCGGGGCGAGTGTCTGAGGATTTCATCGAAGGATGGTCTGGTGGTTCCTCGATTATAGCTCCTCCATTATCGCTCCTCGCTCCTCAGTCCTCGGTCCTCCGGCAAAAATAAGGCCATTGGGACGCTACTCAAGATGGCGCAGACAAATCAACTTCCGGTGAGACCGAGACCGAGGAGCGAGGATATGAAAAATAAGAGAAGTGAAACGCAGCCCTTGCGTCTCTCCATGCTTCCCTGGTGGGAGGGACTAGTCGCAGGGAAACGACGCAAGTGAGGGATGCAAGGAATCCATTTAACCGAAGTGAAACGCAGCCCTGGTCTCACTAGAATGCGTGACTCCACCACGACTCCTTAACAACGCAGTGCGTGGTGGAGTCACGAACTTTGCTACATTTACGTGTCGGCACCACGCAAACAACCCCAATCTAAAGTGAATGAGGCTCCTTTGTCGTGGTGCACACACGCATTTCTACAACGTCCCGCAGTGAGCTTTTATTCTATAAAACGTTTTTAAAATCTACTTTATAGCTTGTAGTAACTCACGGGAGGCTTCTTTTATTTTATTTGTATTCATAATCATTTTTATTTTTCGTCAGAATGTATTATGGTGCATTAGTTACGAATTTTTGTTCTCAAAAAACAGTGCATTGTGTGAACTGTGATTTTTATTAAATTAGTTAGTTTTTAAGGAAGGCCAGAGCTTCAGCTGTGTCAAATAGATTGTTCCCTTTAGTTAACGTTATTTAAAAGATAATTATATTCCTATTTGATCATGTCCCCTTTATTGTATTACGGACACAGAGAGCAATGTGAGCGTCCATTTCCATTCATTTTACACCCGGAAGTAAGTATTCTCCTTACTGTCGATTGATTTTACAGTGATATCAGCACTACTCATCGACTCAAAAACACCAGATTATCCTTGTTAATTACACAACATTGATTGGTTTAAATTGTGTGCAATGCTTTTGTAATTTTCCCCTTCGATTCGGAGAAACAAATATGTGTTCAGAGTTTAGGATGGCCGAAGACACTACACTACCCAGAATCCTCAGCTATTGTTCCGCTTTGCCTCAAGTTCTGTGATTGGTTGACCTCCAACTGCATTCCATATGGAAAAAAAACGTTTTATGGCTTCATCTTAAACAGCAAACTTATCAGCTTGTTTTTTTTTCCAGTCACATAGGAGGCAGAAGAAAGTTGCAGTTTTCATCGTTGATGTGGGAAAGGGTGTTGTGTAGTTTTCTTTCTGTTACATACAAAATGGCTCATATATTTTAATTATAAGATAAGATTAACTTTATTAATCCCAATTTGGGAATTTATTTTGTTGCAGCAGCATAACATAATAACATATACAAAGAGTAGAAATAAACAATTCTAAAATATAAACATCTCAACATAGAAATCGAAATAAACCAGAATCTCTTATCTATTGTGTTTCAACAAATTGTTGGGTTACTGCTGCAGTTTGTTGCACAGTCTTACCCTCAATACTTTGGTTTGTTTTGATAAGTTAAGTCAAGCACACCCAATGTGAATAAAGGGTTCTTCTTGCCTACATAAGAACAGAACAGTCCAAGGTCTGTGCAGTGCCCATTTATTGGGACATTAGATGCCAATTTCACTGTTTGCAGATGAAAGAGTCCTTTTCGATAGCCCTTGACCATAGTGTGCCTAACACTGATAAGACCTTAGTAATGCAGGTATTTGTATTCAACATTTAGTTTTGAGACAAACCCTAGACTTACTGGGCTGGTTAGCTGTCCAGCTGGTCTGGGAGCACCAGCAGATTCAAAGGGAAGGAAAAACAGTATTCACGGAGTAAAAAGTATCCCCATTAGAGAAACACTGCTGTATTAACTGTCTGTTCTCTGTTGATCACTGTTTCTCAGGATCACAGAAGCTACTACCTTTTGTAACAATCCCTGTTGTTCTCCTGGCTGTCATATCTCTCTCTGTCTTCCTGTGGATCAGGTGAGCAGATCTGTTCATCTTAATCATTGTTTTTTAAATCATTGGAAATGTGTTTGTTAGAACTTTATCACTTTTTTGTAACCAGAAAAAAGAGGGCTTCCAGGGATTCTGCTGAACCTGAAGAGAGACCGGAACACACGGAAGAAGTGAGAATAATTTTATAACAGATACTGTTTATCTAG